TAAAATCATTTACATAGTAATAATATTAAAATATATATCAATTTTTATAATTTTTTATATAAATTAATTAAAAAATACATTTATTATACTTTTAAAATCTATACACTTTTGCTCCTCTATTTCATCAATTCCATCTTTCCATTCAAAAATTGTAAAATACGTCTAGGTTTTCTTTATTGATTTTTGCTGAAATTTGGGTTATTGGGGGCAGACATCAATGTGAGAGGGTGAGACGGAGAATCTTCCACTCCCATCAGATTTCATTGAAAATGTTGATTGCGTAGATGAACCATTTTGGTTTTTGAGACAACTAAAATAAGGTATGCAACTACAGCAACACGAGAAGTTATCACTTTTTATATAATTTTTAATAAATAAATAAAAGCATAGCATTTGCGTTTGATGACTGGATGATTCTATACTTAATTGAAAATGCATCCCTCAATTTAAAGGTTGGGATTTAAATCTCTCACCTTCAATATAATCCGTTTAAAAATAAATAAATAAATAAATAAAAACATCATAAATTAAGTACATTAAACAGTAAAAGTTTGAGTTCCCTTATGATTGTACAATAAAGTAAAAAATGGTTCAACCTTCTAAGGGAAATGCTACGAAGCAAAACGTCCTAACTATTGTTTTAAAATCAAGACCAAACCGGTCAATTTGATTGGTTAAATCATAACTAGCCTTGAAAATGGTTTAAATTATATGTTTAAATTGAGAAAAATAGAGAAGGGAGGAAAAGAGAGAGTTTATTAATCAATTAAATTATAATATTTTTTAATATTATAATTTGATTGGTTAAAAAATCTTCTTTTTTCTTTTCCTTTTCCTTCATTCTCTTTAAATTAAATATAATGTGAGATATTAACTGAGTAGCAAGTGAATTTGATCAACCTCGTCCAAACTTAGTCAACTCAAATGGTTCATTTTTTTCAATTACTTTTTTACAATTTTACATTCTTTCTTTTTTTATATGTTTTTCTTTAATCTTCTATATTTATTTATTTTATAGATAATATAATAATTAAAATATAAAATTTATTTAAAGTCAAATTACTAGCAATGAATAACAAATTTTAAATTAATTTAACCTTATATTCGGGTTAAAGGGAATGGAAGTAAGGGGAAAGAGGGGAGGGGAATTTTTTCCCACCACTCTCATCTCCTCTCCCTCCCACCATTCTTCTCTCCTCTCCCTCCTTCCCCTGTAATTTTGTTGATAAATAAATAGAAAATTTTTTTCCTCTCCCCTCCTTTCTCCTCCGTTTCTCTCCATCCAAGTATACTATAAATGTCATTTGAATTCATTTTAAAAAATAAAATTAATGAAAATAATAATTATAATATCACGTGATATTATAAGCGTACAACATAATATATCATTATATAATTTGCTCTCTTTATTCAAGTATTCACCCATTGTATGTGCCCTCTTATTTAGTAACCCATTATGATAGTTAGTTTTTCTACGTGGTATTGTAACTATTGCATTATTTTAAAATTAATTTAAAATTAAATTACATTCCATTCCAAGTTAGAGAATGAAATTAATTTAAAATCAAACTAATTCAATTTCAGAAATAAAATAAATAATTACTTTAGGCAATAAAATGAATGAAATAAATTTGAAATTAAAATTAATCTCAAGAAATTTTGAAAATAAAATCAATAAAAAGGAAAAAGAATTTTACAATTAATATAACATCAATATTTTAGATGGCTAATAAAACAATATATTAGATATTTCAATAAATTTATTGAATAAAATTAATTTAAAATCAATCATGAAAATATAATGAATTTTGAAACTAAGTAAGATGGCAAACTGTACTCCAAGGCAGAAAATCCGAGACGGCGGCAAAAGGTACCTGTTTGCCCATAAAGATTTCAAATTTGAGGCGTTTTACCTCTTATATTTTAATATATGAATTTTTACCCTTCGTCATTTCTAATTTGGGGAAATGAGGCAAAATTTAAT